CTCTGGTAGGGGCCTGAACTCTGCAAAGGTATAGGCATATTTAAAATATATGAATATATATAACCAGCCAGTGTTCCCTAGTTTGCTTTCTTATAATTGCTCACTACTCAGGAGTCATACAGCTGATGGTCATAAAGATTCTTAGTTTTCTTCATTGCTCCCAAAGATAACATCCCCCTGTGAAACCTAAGGCTGGTATTTGAGATGTCTTCCGGGCCCTGCATTCCCATGGACTGGCCGACCCACCCAGACTAGGGGCCCATACCAAGGAACTAACTCACCTGGTCTTGTGACCCCCACCCAAGAACTGACTCAGCATGAGAAGACAATTTCTACACCCCTATGGTTCCACCCGAACCCAGGCATTTCTGGTTGCAAATGATCAGACCAGAAATTGCCTAACCCTTTGCCTGCCAAACTGTCTTTAAAAACACTTTCTCCCCAATTCAGGGAGATGGATTTAAGAACTTCCTTCTATCTCCTTGCATGGTGCCTGTGATATTAAACTCTTTGTCTGCTGTAACCCCTGCTGTCTCAGTGTTTTGGCTTCCTCTTGAACAGTGGGCAATGGACCGGTTTTGGGCTGTAACACAGACCCCATCACCATTCCTATAATATCTGTGTCCATCACTGTCTCTGGAAGTTCCTGGTAGCAAGGGCAGTGTCTGACCTTCTCCGTGGGCCCAGGCAGACAAAGCACAGTAAATGTTTGCAGGAAGAATGAACACTATGTGAATGAGTAGCTGGAGAGGCCACACATTCTGTACTATAGAAGCTCCAGCAGCTGTCGCCATGAGGGAAGGCTTCTTGGAGAAGGAGGGGTAGATAGTGGCACGGGGCATAACAGCTTGGTCTATTGGGCCGGGCTAATGCCTGTGCCATATAAAGCAGACACCATAAACCCTCAAGAGATCTTTATATGTCTTAATGGAATGTCTCCAAGATGGTCCCTCAAGTCTCAGAAAGGTCACAGCTGCTGCCCATGCCCGGATCACCAAGTGGTGGTGATTGACAGGGCAGCTGCCCAAAGGAGCTCCAAGCCCCAGGGCAGGCAGGGGGGAGGGGGCCCAGCATTGTTGCGAGCCGAGCTTACTCTGTGCTGGCGCAGTATGGCCATCTGGTTTGGGTCAAAGGTCTCCAGGGACTGGTTTGATTTATAGGCCGGTGCTGCCACCCAGGCGGCATGAGGGTGAGGTTGCAAAGAGGCCAGAGCAGGGGTGTGGGGGAGGAGAAGGGAAGGGACATTCACAGGACCCCTTGGAAGCTGCTTCTGTGCTTCTCATCCGGGCCTTGGAGCATCTGAGGTTGCTTCTAATAGAGGAAGATTCCAAAATAAAGTAGTGAAAAAAACTGAGAAGTATTTATTGTACATGCACTGTCTACCTAGGTCTGTACTGAATGCTGCTATTATCTGGGAGAGGAAACAAATCCAGACGAGCCCTGTGCAGCGCCTGGCTTTTCACACTGCCGGGCTCAGCGGCCTCTCTGCCATTATCAGCTGCATTTTACAGATGATGACACCAAAGTGCAGAGTCCCACAGCCTGTAATGGTAGAGCCAGGAGACAAACCTAGGCTTTCTGTCCAACTGCAGGGCCTTCCCCTCCACCCTGCAGGGCCTCCGGAGGGCCCTGGAGTTCAGAGGAGAGGAAGGGAAGCAGGGGCCAGAGTCAAACGAGGAATCTCAGAGAACGACGTGCCAGGATTGGTCACCAAGAAGGTGGCCATGCTTTCACCTCTTCTGGACATACTCCCCACATACTTGTCAGCCACTGCAGGTGTGCCCCAGCAGCACAGGGCAGAGTGGTCAGTAGGGACCGAGGTCATTAAGGAGGACTTTAAAAACCAAATTGCCACGGCTCTGAGCCTTGAGGGAGGACACCCTTAGACAGACGGAAGTGGGGCTGGCCTTGGGCAGGGAGCAGAGCGCCAGCCAAAGTGTGGAGGCAGAAATTTGCCTGGGGGGTGCAGAGGGGCCCTGAGGGCTGGAAGGCCATGCTCTTGTGCCCAAGGAGCTAGGAAGTGAGATCTGGCGAGGGAGGCCACACGCAGGGGATGTCTCCCTGGGTCTGCCCAGGGAGAGGGGCAGAACTAAGACAGACCCCTGCCCCCCATCTGCAGCCTGCTCCCAGCAAGAGGCTGAGAACACCGGCTCAAGTGGTGCTGAGGCCTTTCCCACGTCTTCTGCTGGACGTGTCCCGGGATCATGAGGGCTACCACCCAGGGCTCTGCAGGGATGGGCAGTGGGCAGCGTGGAGACAGCCCTGATCATCCCCTCTGAGGAACCACAGTGCGCAGTCCCATGGGCCCTCCAAATCAGCTGGGGAAGACATGCACCTGGCACTCCAGCCCTCTTCCTCCTTGGATCTGTAGGACAATCCAGCCAGGCCCCCCCATTGTATACCTGAGGCTCAGGGGGGCCCATGGCTGGCTCTGGTCACACAGCTCAGCAAAACCTGGCCTGAAACCCAAATCTAGAAGTCCAGATCGCCATGGTGAGGCCAAGCAAAGAAAGCAGGCATTCCATAGAGCATTTCAGATGCCAGGAAAGCCTGCTACAGCTCATCCTGATCAGAGAAGACACCAGGGGAAGAAAGGAGCCCTTCAGGACATTCCCAAAAGGAGGCTTTGAGCCTGGATCAGACAGACCAGAGTCCAAATTCCAGTTCTGGTCCTGGGACCTTTTAGCTTCTCATGGCCTCAGTTTCCTGATCTGTGAAATGGGAATATTGACTTGGCCTACACAGGACTAAAAGAATTTAGTGGGATTTCACATATATATAAAGGGCACTTAGTTTGGGACAAGGAGATAATCATCAGATGGTTACTTTGACTTATCTTTATGGCCAGTATTGTTGGTAAGCATGTCAATTCTGTGGCAGAAAAGGTTTCTCTGGCAGGATTCAAACCCCTCTCTCTGGTTCTATATGTCTGTGGTGGGGACTTCATGAAACACCAAAGCCAGACCTGAGCAATGAACCTATGCAGGGCTGGAGTGTAGTGGGCAATCCATCACCAGTAACTCTGCCAGAAATGTCACCTCCCAACTAGGAATGCAGATGAAAAAGCCTACCCCAGACTGGGCAGGGGGTGGTGTGACGAAACTTGACACCAGGCTCCGTCCTGCAAAGTGCAGCCATAGGAGATGCTGGCAAAGCCCAGATCTGGCCTTTGACCTCTGCCCTAGATTTGTTTACACAGGGCGGGGCTGGGGTCAGACCCCCACGATAGGCCATGGGTTCAGAAAATGACAACCAGACCCAGCCAGATACACATATGCATCAGGGACAAGGAAAGTGTTCAACAATGCTCAGAGCCTGAATACATGCTGGTAAAAGGCCACCAGGTCAGGAGAAAGACAGAGCCAATGTGGCCTCCCCATGTGGGGGCCACCAGTGCCCTTCCGTTTAACTGTGGTTGGACAGTGTGGATGGGAAGGCACCTGCACGTCCAGGGCTGTGGGGGATAAGGGAGGCACACGGCTAGTTCCCTTCCCCAAAGAGCCTACAGCCCCGTCGGAAATACAGGACGGACATCCCAGTACCTTAAAATCACAATTGAGGACAGTCAGGCTTGCAAGTTGAGAGGAATAACAGCGCCATATGAAGCAGCCTCTGATGCTATCGAGGTCTTGCCATTCACAAAGGGCTTTCAGGGGTCTCCTTTTATTTCATCTCCATAACGCCCTCTTTCTCATCCTTCCCATTTCACCCACAAGGAAATGGAGGCCCCCCTAGCTCAGGGACTCACTGTGCCTGGCAGCTGCCCCAACCCCCTGCAGGGCTCCCGACATGGGCCCCTGCTGTCCCTCCTCCTAGGAATTCCTGGCATACCTCCTGTCAGTGACCCCTTCCCCAGCCAGGAACTTCGACACTCTCCTAAAGTTTCCTGGTCTTGCAGCCTGACACTTCCCGAACAGTATCTGGACTGAATCTTCTTCCTACCCCAACCCCTCTTCAACTGGCTCCCCGGCAGGAGGAACTTGGGTGAGTGCTGGCCCTAGGGGTCCCATGGCAGAAAGAGTGGCCTGGGCTCTCCGTCAGGTCCCCGGCCCCCAGCCACTCGGAAGCAGCACCATCCACGAGAACTCTGAGCCATGGGAAATGGTCTACCCTGCCCTGTCCAGTACGGCAGCCAGCAGCAGTGTGTGGCTACGGAACACTTGGGTGCAGCTAGAAAAACGGAGGAACTGGTTTTTACTCTATTTAATTTTAATGAATTTTATTTAATTTTAATTATACAGCCACATGTAGCTACTGGCTACCATACTGGACAGCACTGCAGTGTAAAGTGTTTGTCATCCAAAAAATCAGATGTGCAGCCTCTTCTTATCAGAGACCACAGAAGATGACTAGAGGTCATCTAGTCCAATCCCCTCCTTCCTGCAATGGAGAAACTGAGGCACGGAGAGAGGAGGTGACTTGCCCAGGTCACACAGCCAGTGGCCAAGCTGGAACCAGCTGGGCCAGGTTTCCTGGCTCCCAGGCCAGTGGTCTTTCCAGGACCTATCCCCCTCCTCCCTCTTTCACACCCAATACCAGACTGGGTAAATCGACTTAGTGCAGGTCAAGAATGCTTATTTAACGTTCACACATCTGAACCGTCCATTTTGGCAAAACACCTTGAGTAGCCAAGGGAGGTTGTGTGTGTCAGCCAAAAAGGAAATACAAGCCCTCGATTCACCACTTCTCTCCTGGGTGGCTTGCCCAGCCTGGCAGTGACAAGTGCTCAGGCCAGCCTGGAGCTCTGCCATTGCAGGGGACAAAAGGGGAAGGCAGAGCCTATCCAAGAGGAGCCCTGCCCTGGTGCTGCCCTTCGCAGGGTCCAGCCAAGAATGGGAGAGGCTGCAGCACGGCGGACGGGGTGGGGGATGCACTGTGGCTGTAGGGGTCGGGGTGGGCTCCAAGCCCTGGGTCACCCCCCGCTCACCCCGCTACCCCAGTTAGGGAGATCGTGAAACGCAAATGCCCTGCCAAAGAGCAGCGCTGGGCTGGGGCTGACTGCAGCTCACACTGAGCCCCCTGCTTTCCAGAGGCTGCTTTTCTTGGCTGGACTGCCAGAGGTTCTTAGCAGGCCTATGGAACTCTACATTTTCCTACAAAGCCCAGAATTCAGCTTCTGGAGCAGTAGCAAGGTGGAAAGTGAGAGACAGGGATTCAAGTCAGTCCCACCACTCGTGGTGCGCCCCTGGGCGAGTCTGTCAACCTTTCTGGGCCTCAGTCAACTCATCTGTAAAATGGAAATGGCCATATCCACCCCGATCAAAAGCCACCCTCACCAAAGTTCCAACAACAGGTCATTTTGTAGAACTGGGAGACGTGTCCCAGCAGAAAAGAGATGGAAATATGGCTTCTTTACAATGAGGTGTGTAAAACTTTTTTTAAACAGTAGGACGGCTGGAGGCTGAAGGATGGAAGGAAATGCTGTGGCCCGCATGTCCCCCCACCTGCTGCTGTCCAGCCCCTGCCGACCCCCGAGCCCTCAGCCCACCCTGCCTTGCTGGCCGCCGCGTTGGCCGCAGGCTCGGCCCCCTGGCCCCACTGACCCACTCTTCCCCCAGGTCTTCACAGACCTGCCTCCGCCTCATCATTTAGGTCTCACTCACATGCCCTGAAAGGGGCCAAGGCAGCAGCTGACACCCCTCCCCCATCGTATTCTCCAATTTTGATCTCTTAATCATGTTTATCTACATCTGGACTTATCACGAGCATTTGGTTTTTTCTGTTCCCATCTGTCTCACCCCCTCAATTATCATCATAGTATATCCCCAGTGCCTGACACATAGGAGATGTTCAAAAAATATTCCTGAGTGATTGGCTGACTGGTGAAAACCCCTCTTTTCTTGACCGAGGCTCCCGGCAGACTGTGGGCTCAGGAGAGAGAGGTGGCACACGTGAGAATGCTCCCTCCCGGAACCGCAGCCCAGGGTTTGACTTTGGGCAGTGCTGCCCTGCACTGCCGGCTAACCCAGAAGCCCTTGGGATGGTGTGGGCAGCAGCAAGTGGAACACAGCAGCCTTTCCAAACCAGGGCAGCACCTAACACTGACACTTAGGCTGCGCGGACACATTTTCCTTTTGGAAAGGGAAAGGCTGAATTCTGCTGAACACACACGGTGGGGCTGAGGAAAGGGCCCTGCTCCAGCCAAGACCAGGAGCCCAACCCCTGCTTCCGCCTCGGTCCACACTCCTGGCCAGTTCCTGGAAATCCAGGACATCCTGGCTTGCTCTGCCACACCCTGCCCCCACTGTTCCCTGCACTGCCATCTCCACCCCCACCCCCGCAGCCTCCCTCCAGCCAGGCATGCCAGGGAGCTGCCTTCTGCCAGTGCCACACTGATGGCACAAAGCACCCGGGAAGCTGGTAACACACGCATGTTGCAAGGTCCACTGCGAGAGTTTCTGGCTCAGTAGGTAAGAGACGGCAGAAATCTGTGTTTTCCACCTGCTCCCTGAGGGACACTAAGGCCCAGGGGAACACACTATGTGGCCAACTCCAGGACTCCCCACAGCCACGGAACCAGCAGGTAGGCCCACCCCAATCAGAGGGCAGGTGGGAGCCTTTCCCTGCGCCTGAGGAGAAGCGCCAGGCCCATCAGACACTCTCAGGACTTTCAACCAGGACCTGGGAAAATAACATGGCAGCTAGCACATTATTAAAGTTGTCAAGGCCATGGTGAGCCAAAGCCAAGGGGCACCCCAGATTATGAGAGGAAAGGGGAAGGGCACCCCAGAAAAGATAGAAGGTTGGGAACAGGTTGGGGGCTGAGGCAAAGTGCCTGAGCGTTTTGAGCAGGAGCTGTCACCTCCTCCCAATCCTCATGTGCCCTTATGCTCACCCCACTTCCTGAAGCAACCTGTGGGTTCTGGACTCTCAAAGGAGCCCCGACTAAACAGCCCACCTCCCTCTGGGCACCTGGCCCAGCCTCTGTGTAAGCGCTGAGTGGTCCTCAGCTGTCTGTGACCCTGGCCCCTCACTGCAGAGGCAGCCACCCTTAGGGAGACAGGCAGGATCCCACACGGCCACGGCCCTCCCAGCTGGGCCCAGACATCAGGCAGAGAGCTGTCTTCTACCTCACTGAACACCAAGAGCAAACCCGCTCTTGCTCTGGGACCTCCTTGTGAAATGCATTTTGAAATGCATTTTGAGGGGAAAACATCAACAAATAGGGCAAGATCTGGAACCTGGCTGCGGCTCCCATGGATTGACTTGAAAGCATCTTCTTAAATGACTCCAGAGCTGGGACGATGACAAGGTCTTCGCCGGCAGCTGCGGCCCCCACTGCTCCCCAGTGGGGTCATGGGCTTGGGAGACACAAGAGATGGGGGACACCCAGGTGCCCATGATGGGGCAGCCTGTGCCCGCCGGGGCTCCCAGCAGGCGGGTCACGAAGCGGAGCTCCTGGCTCTATTTATAGAAAGCAGCCACTGGGAGGGATGAAGAACGGGGGAGAGCTGGCTCCGCAGTATTTTCCAGGCTCACGCTGTCTCGGCTTAATTTCATCCCAAGCAAATAAATCATTAAGGAGGCACCGAGACCTGGAAGATCTGACGAAGAAGGGCCATTAAACGGCTCAGCCTTCGCTTGAATTATGGAAGGCCTCAGACAAGCAGCCTTATTAGTGTCTGGGCTGGGCTGTAACTCACGCTAACCGCCCCCTTGCCCTAACCAAGGGACGAGACTGGGCGAATCACGGGCTTCCTGACTGCTGGCGAATAAATGCTGCAGCCAGCCCACAGGCCGCTTGCTCTCCCTGGTCATTGACACCCCACCATCACCCTCCACCCCCGACCCCCGCAAATAGGCTTACTCAGCACCACCCACTCAGAATCAGCACCAGTGCCGATTGGATGGGTCGGAGGATGAATGCGCTTGCTGTACTGTACTGCAGGGTATTTAAGGGCTGTGGCCACGGGGATTGCCAACACTGGCTTCAGTAAACCCTCTTGTTAAGCTCACTCAAGCCAAGGCCTGGGACCCCCAATAAACCACAGAAGACTCCACAAGACCTGAGTAGCACGGAGGTTACAGGTGTGGGTGCTGGAGTAGGCCTGGATTCGAGTTGGGGACAGCCACCTCCCAAGCATGTGCTGTGAGCTGCTCTTCCTCTCCCTCAGCCCCAGTTCCTCATGGGCAAAATGGACAATGACACTTCTCATCCACGGGGGTTAAACGAGCTGCCATGCATAGGGTGCTGAGTAGCCTTTCCACGTGTGGTGAGGTTTAAACAACAGGATGCGTGAGCGGTGCTGAGCAATGTTTGGTCTTCGTGAGCACTCAGTCAGTGACGGCTTAACAAAGAGCTGTTTCCATCTGCAGTAATCCCTTCCCAAACAAAGTCACCCTCACAGGAGAATTCATGGATAATAGTGTGGATTTACTTGTGTATACCTCGCCGGCAAGTGGAGAATCTGGGTTCCAGGACACATAAACTGAGTCAGTCCCTCGGTGTCTGGGAGGATGAGAACAAGAGGGAAGTGGGCTGCATGAAAGGGGGGATGCAGGAGGCACAGCTGAACTGCTGGGAGCAGGGAAAGCAAGGCCCAGGAGCTGCCCCGGAGTCGGCCGGGCGGGAGGGGTGGTGGGCACAGCCAGGCTTGGCCACACCCCCTCGCTGGGGTGGGGGAAGTGGGCCACTTCCAACAGAGAGGCCAGCACAGACCCCGGCACAGAGGAATAAGCATCTCAGCTTGGCTGCAGGATCATTCAGTGTTGGGTAGACAGGTGGATGGTGGGTGCTGAGGACAAGCTGTGACTGTGGCGGCCTTGCTCTGTGCCATGCCCTCAACAAGCAGTATCAGCAGTAACACTCAGGAGCTTGCTAGAAATGCACAATCTTGGGCCAGACTCAGATCCACTAAGTCAGAAACTGCATTTTAACAAGATCCCCAGGCAGCGTGAATACACACCGTGGTTCGAGAAGCACTGCTGACAACAACTCCATGGGGTAAGTGCCATCACTATGCCCACTTATAGGTGAGGAAATTGAGGAACTGAAAAGTTAGGAAACCTACACCCAGGTCACCCAGGTAGTAAGTGGGTGGACGAGTTCTTATCCAGCATCTCTGTGCCTGTGGTAACTCCCTGATTCCATGGTCTGAGCAGGGTTGGAGCAGTGTCTTTGGCATGTAGGAGGCACTGGGGAGCTATGGAGGGTCTTCATCTGTATGTGCACATGGGGGTAGACACCTGTCTAAACTCTGCCCAAGAGTCAAGGCCGCGGGTGACCTTGGGCAAGTCCCCCCAGCTCTCTGGTCCATTCGGCTCCCACCCATAAAACGTGGGTCTTGCACCGGCAGCCGGACGGCGTCTCTTCTAAACCTACCACCTGGGACCCTGCCTTTACCCTTCTGCCAACGCCTGAAAAGGGGGACCCTTTGCCTCTTCCCCTTTCCCCAAAGTCCAGTGGCGGCCAGCCCTCAGCTAGGCCTGATAACGGTCTGTTCAGAGGTGGACGCTGCCCCTCAAGCCACCACCCCGGCAGCTCGTCCATAGCGAATGTACACGTGGACACAGCTGGTAAGGACACTGCTTGTTTGGTGTCTGGCTGAACACATGTTCACAGGCAAGTCACCACCGGGAGCTGCGGCCTTTTAGAGAAACACTTGAACAAGATGTTTGGCCAGAAACATCTGAAACCGCTCAAGGGAGGGGTAAATACTCCCAGCTTCACGTGCGACAGGCTCACTGTGGTCTCTGAACCTCAGGTGGCATTTCCATCACGCATCCTAAAGAGAAAAGAGTCAAAGGCCTCCCAAAGCCTCCCAAATTCCCTTGTGCGAAATCCCTCAGTTTCACAATGTGGACCAAAATTTAATAATAATAATAATTTCCACATTTAATAACAGTAATTTTACCAATCCATGGGAGAGTAATAATTAAGCAGTTTTTAAAGCTACCATTTTTTCAGTACTATGTGCCAGGCACTAAGACCAGTCACTTTCCATATATTAATCCGTAATCCTTACACCTTGTGGCAAAATAATTATTTTTCAGATGAGGCAACTAAAGCTCAGGTGAAATGACTTGCTTAGTGTCACAGCTGATTAGAAGCTGAGTCAGGACTGATGGAGTCCAGTGCTGGGAGACCTCTGCACCCTGCTCTTCACACGAGGT